TTTTTTTTTGAAGGAAAAATTTTTGGAACTTTTGATCTTTTTTTGAATCTCAACAAGAAATTTCGAATTTTTTAAGGCAAAAATTTTTGGGCGCTTCATCCATCCGTTATGTGACATCCATGCCACATGACCAGCCTATTTCCTTTTTCTGGCGTACATTGCTTCAATAATATCTTTTACGCCAGATCTGGCTCATAGATGAGGTAAATTGACTGAGGTAAATGCAACTGATAGCAGCTTCTCTAAATCAGTACCACCTCTGCTGGCTGACCACTGACATATTAACAAGTTGGACCAATTCGTTGTCCATATCCTTCCCTTGATTTGACCACCCTCATGTATATTTTTTATCGAAAAAAAAAGAAGTTGTAGGCTTCAAACGATGAAAAATTTGTGGATATTGTATCGTGTGCATATCGCGCATCACTTGTAACGTCACGGAACAGGGTGGCATCGTTCATGGATGCCGAATCGTGTGGCACAAAAATATCAAATTTGCTTTTGACGCCGTTGCTCGATATTCCGGATGGAGAAAAATACGCCGCGCTATATGTATGCCCGATGTATTCGGTGATTAGAACGCAATCAAATGCCTGCTATTGGTGGTATGCCTTTTTTTTTTTTTTGAAACTTCGTTTTGTTCGCGAATTTATGCAATTACTGCTCGTCACGGAGTGCCCCGGCTGAAGGTGGTCCATGCCCTTATCGCTTCAAAGCACAAGTTTTTGAAAGTACTGGGATTTTAATATAAAAGAGGTGAAGGTAAAACCTTATTTTTTTCAACAAGCCGTTTTGTTGAATTTTAGTTTTTCTAGAAATTTTTTGGCTTTTTCAAAGTTTTTCGAATTTTTTTTGGAAAATTGAAAAAAAGTTGAGTTTTTCTGGAAATCTTTCGAGTTTTTTTTCTGAAAAGATCTTTTGCACTCGTGTGAGTGGAGCTGCCAAGAATGTATGAATGTGCGCGAGAGGCGTGTTCGCGTAAAAATTCTTCACTTAAACATGGTTCGTTGCAGGGGCATTTATCCGTTTAATGAGCGACGGAAACAGTGGGAACGTCTGCGTTCGCGTTCGCACCGAATCACAAGCCTTATGCCGGCTGAAGTTGTTGAAGGCTGTGAAGTGCGAACAAAGTCACATCCTATTTATACCACAGGTTCCGTGGCACTGAGCCTGAAATCGGAAACGCCAATGGTACCTTCATTCATCAATTTTTCTGTTTTTTTCTATTAAATACCTTCTCTCGCTGCGCAAGAGGAACTGGCAAAGTTGTCGATGACTTCTGTATCGAAGGTTGCTTAAAAGTAAACTGATGACGATTTCGATTTCCTAAGATGCGCTGCTAGCAATTTGTCACTGGAACAAACATACGAATCGTATAGAGAGGTTGGCTACCTCACGCCGGCAAAGCTGAAAAATTTTTTCGAGATTTCGAAAATCAAGAAAAACTTCGAAATTTTTTCTTATTTGTTTTCATTTCATTTTCATTTTTAAAATTTATTCTTAAAATTTTTCAAGTTTTTTCTTTTTCAAATTCTCAAAATTTTTCGAGGTCCAGATTTTCAAATCCAAACAAGAAAATTTTAAAAAAATCCCAAATTCATTTTCAAAAAAATATTTTCAAAAAAAATTTTTTTCGTATCAAATAACCGAAAAAGAATTTTATTTTAAATTAGTTCTGATTAATTTTTTGTTTAAGCTGATTATTTATTTAACTGTGCTTAATTATTTGTGATTAGTTATTTAATTATTTAAATTGAGATTAGTTTTTTGGTGCTGTGCAACTGTGACAGTTAAAATTTTTTGAGGTTGGCACATTGATGGAATCGGCGTGGACGCTGTCGGAGCTGTGTCGATTTCGAGTGATGACACCAGCGCAACACGATGAGATTAGTGCCGAAGACGGTTCGTGCCTCAATTCTTCTGCGCACCAATCGGCTGATAAAAAAGACTCCTTGAATCGTGAGTTAATTAGAATGCATCTCTCTCTCTCTCGCTCAGCTCCACCTTTCTCCCCTCAAATAATAATAATAAAACTCGTCTAATATATTCTGTTTTTGTGCTGTTATGAAATATTTCAAGTAACGAAAAGCCACAAATTACTGTAATTTAGCCTAGGTCCTAAGTTATCTGGCCTACGCAATTTCTACTTCCTTTTTGCAGCTTCTGTGATCCCAGAAGCCGCCCTCCTCGTATTAGTAACTTTCGTCGTGTCTGTGTATGTCTGTCTGTCTGTTTAAGTGATGGTGGTGTATATGTATGTTCTGTAAAGGGAAGATCCTCTTTTGCTTGCCCGAGGGCCCAGGCTATAACCCTCAAGCTAAGGGCCCATATTTTCAACAGCTATGAATAGCTGTTGAAAATTTTTTAAAAATTTTGGAAAGACTCCCTCTTCCAGGGATTGCTTTTTTTTTCTATGAACATGATTTGACTGCCTGGGATATTAGGCCTAACCGAGGCGATAGGCCTAACATGCCAGGCTTTGTTAATAGTGTTTTTTCCGTTAGCCCCGTTCAGGCCGCTGTGTTAGCTCGAGCCTGACAACGGATGGCCACAAATTAACCCTATTACATTAAACATATAGAATAAAATATATTCAAAAAAAAGAGTAAAACTGTTGAAAATAGAAAAAAAACGGCACCAAAAAAAAGATGTTTGACGACGTATAGTGTACTGGCCCAAAATTGAATTGTCTGATTGGCTGGGTGGTTGGTTGGTTTCACTACGCTTCCTAGTGTTGCATTCTAATTTGCCATGTACATTATCCCCTTACGCTTTTTTTTGGCTATGAATGCTGCTAACACACGCTTTTTCACCTTTTTTTTTGCCTCGCTTGCTAGAATTCCCATAATTTTCCCTGAAAAATTCAGAATTTTTGAACTTTTTTTTCCAGTATTATCAAGGAATAATTTTTTGTTTTCTGTGTTTTCTTTTTTCTTTTCTGTATTTTCAAAAAGAAAATTTTATTTTAAAAAAACTCAATTTTTTTTTTGAAATTTCAAAATTCTAAGATTTTTAACAGTTTTACAATTTTTTCCGGAATTTTCTTAAATTTTTTACGAATTTTTGGTTTGTTTTTACGCAAACTTTTTTTCTGCAGTTGCTGCTTTTCCACACGTTTTTCTCTAATATTCTCTTTTTTTTGCTTTTTTACACATATTTGCCTCTGTACTTTTTTTTTCTGACAACAAGTCTAATTTTTTGAGGATTGGTTTATGTATAGTGGGCGGCTCGCAAACACACACAAACACCGCACACAACTGAAGCATCCTCCCTTTTTTGTGTGTGGAAATGTGATATCATCCTGGCAAGGGCAAGTGAAAGGATTTTGGTTTAGCGAAAATACAAAATGAAAATGATTGAATTGCATGTGCATTTTTTACATATGCTTTCGAAAAAACCGTCAATATTTTTTTAAATTTTTATTAAATTTCGCTGAAATAAAAGTGCGCTTTGAATTGAGACATATTTCATGGATTTTTTGTGATAAAAAACGAAATTTTTCAGAATACGGCAAGCGGCCACGCGATGATAAAGGAAGCAATTACAGAGAAGCAGCATGGGCCCTGAATGAAGTGATATTCATCCACAATGGAAGCTCACAGGATACAGCCATCGTTAAAATTGTAAATCATTTTTTTTGAAGTGCTTGGAATTTTTTTGGGTTTTTTTCCGGGATTTTTTTTTGGGATTTTGGATTTTTAGAAAAGTTTTTTTGAAATTTTTTCCTTCCCCCCCCCCTCCCCCCCGCCCTTCGCCTCTTTACTTCCCCCTTTACTGTGAATTTTTCGCTAGAACTTGAAGTCTTTTTTTCTGTTTTGGTTTTTTTTGTGGTGGTTGGATAATTAGACCCTCGGCAGTTATTCGTTCATTCATTTTTGCGGCAAATCGTGGCGAAGATATTGCCAGAAAGTCAGGGCCATTATCAGTTACTTGTAAACGGAATTTGTTCCAGTGCTTTCGGAGCTCGGCTTCTATGGAAAGAGTGAGAAGGGTTTAAAATATTTTAGGTGGATGGCGCCTACTGTGGGATTGTGTACAAGCCGGTGAATTCATCCGATGGCGGTGATACGGGTGGCGAAAGTCATTCTCGTCCGGTGGAGCTAGAAAAAATTCGTTTGATGCGTAAAGATGATTTGGTGGTAGTGTCGCCAAACAACAGGACACCGCGTTGTCCCGAGAATTTCCAGAAACAGCTACAAAAAATTCAGTTACCCAGTGGAATACCGGCCAAAAAAGTACATTCCCTGGCAGTCGATAATACTGGTACGTATATTTTTTATAATTGAAATAGGTTTTAATTTTTTAATTGAGAAGTTAGTTCAAAATTAATTTAATTAAGTTTAACTAATTTTTAATTGAAATATTTGATTGAAGTGTAATTCATAACGGCTATGCAGCGGATAACATTTCTTGTTACTTTGACCGATGCAATACTGCCCAGTGGCTAGCAGCCTGCTGACGATCCTGACGCCTGTTTGCCTTAGAGGTTTCACATTTCTGAGCTTGCGGGAAGTTTGAATTCAAATTCTTCGGGTCATATATAAGCAAGGAACATCTTTACAAGATTCCAGCCTTCTAGCTTGCCTGGTTCGCGAAATCGTTTCCTCGCCAAAATTTCAAGTAATTGCTCAACTGGCTTTCAAGTTAGCACCGAGCGCACTTAGGAACTGAATGTGAAATCTTTCGAAAAGCGATAAAAGGCCAGATGCGGCCCAGAAATCTTGGGGATTTATGGCTCCTTCGTTATCTGTATTTGCATGGATTACTCCATTGAAGGTTTGCGCTTACTGGTCGAAAAACGAGGTCGTCTTCATCTAGTGCGTGTTAGCGTATTTGGCAAAGTACAAAGCGATCATGTTCTTTTGGTGAATACCGGAGCCGTCTGCAATGCTGGGCCACATGCAACGCAACTTGTAAATTATGGTGATGTAAGTTGCAAATTTTACACTTTTTTTTTGTTTTTTTGAAAAATCGCATTCTAAAAAGAATCCCTCAGGTGTGTGTGTTTTTGTTTTTGGGCATTTCAAAGCTAGGAAGCTGAAATTTTAGGAGGACCACCTGTGCACTGTGTGTATGGGTCAAAGTTTAAAATCAACAAAACCTGATAGTTCAAAAAAATCAATAAAGTAAAACAAATTCAGAAATAAAAGTCAAAAAAAAAATTCAAAAGAAAAATCAAAAATCAATAAAATTGAAAAGGATTAACAAAATCGATAAACAAGCAAATTCCACGTATGACTTTAATATAAAATTTTAACATTAATACATTAAAACATTAACATTTAACGATCAATAAGGATTGCAACATTAACAAAATTTTAGCATTTAACATTAAAATTTAAAAAAATTTCAACATTAAAACAAATACAATAAACATAAAATAAATTTTATAAAATAAATTCCACATTAAATTTTTTATTTTATAAAATTTATTTTTACTTTTGTTTTTATTTTGTTTTTTATTTTTTTGTCTTTCTTTTTAATTTTTGCTTTTGTGACAATGAAAATGCGGTGTTCAGGAAATGATCACGATGATTGGCGATAGCAATGGATCGATACTACCGATGATACGTGATGCAACCGGTGGTTTTCGTGAACCCGTTTACTGTGCGCTGCCCAGAATACATCGTTTTGCGGTCGGAGTACGGCCACCAGACTCAGGAGGCAAAGAGAATCCATCATCAGCTGTTGCTGCTGCCGCTGTTGACGGCTGTTAGTTTTATTTCGACATAATATCAGCAACTGTGTTCAAAGATAATGGCGTGAGCAGTCACTGTGGTGAATATTGGGATGCTGCTGGAATGCTCGCGGCACTGGGCGCACAGCTCTGCCAGTCCCTCTGATCCTAGCCTGTATACTTCCAGCTCTTTGTACATGTGCGAGCTAAAGATTTCAAATTCAGCTGTTGTGCACACGTGTGCAGCGCGCACGATCATGTCAAATTTTGCAACTTGGTAATGTATCAACTCGAAAACCTGCCAAAAAACAGTGGCTGAAATTTTGTCAGCATATTTGTCGCGCCCATATGGGAAATCGTATACCTAAAATGAGTGCCGATTTGCATTTGCGCTACGATTTAGAGCACTTCAAAGATATTTGTAGCGAGGATACTCACTAATGGATGACCATCACCATTTCTACGCGTCCTGATCAAAGATTATGTTGCCTGGCTATTCGGTTTTGTGGGGTTTTTTTGTTTGTTCGAAACACTGTTTACGGTTCGAAGCATTCCTTTAGACCAGAAACCCAGGGTTTACTCCCCAACAGCAAACTGTTTCAAACTTCCGGCCTACAACTACTTTTAAGTTTCCATTTTTATGATCACTTAGGTGTAGCAGCTGTGACTTTAAATGAGTACATTATTAGGATCAGAAATAAGAGTTTCTCACCTTCCTTTTCTTTTTTTCCATTTTTTCCAACTATAAATTTTTGCTTAAGTGAGGAGGAGACTGCCTCCTTTTGTGATTTGTCCTGGTGTTTGTTTAGCATCTTCATCCGGGAGCGCAAATCGCACTGGAGTATTGGTGGCCCTGGTTGCGCCATCACCAACTACAGCTCGCCCTCGTACACCGTCACTGATGCAGACAATTCTCTACTGTGATCTTCAGGGAGTTGAATTGGTCCTTGATGCACTCGCGAAAGAATCAGGTATTTCCTTTGATTTTATATTGTATTTAGCCCGTTTAGAAATAAGAAAGAGTGCTACAGCTACTGCATCAGCAAGATTCCGCGACCTCGATGGGTTTCCAGGGCTCCCCTGAAGTGAAATTGGGGCAAAATTCATGAATTTTATAGTTAGCGGGCGAGGGATAGGGAAGGAAGCGTGCTAGGGCAGGGTGGCCCTAGCACGCTTCCTTCCGACTCTCCTTTTTGCATTATCCTCTCCATCCATATTCGCGTCCGCTTGTTCACGTGAGCTTTTTTTTACATGAATTTTCGCGTGAAGTTTACTGCTTCGAGGCTTAGCATTGATGATTTGATTCTGCTGGTGGAGAAAACTTGTTTATTCGTTTAGGTGTTCAGTTGGCACTGGCACATATTTGGAAGTCTGATTCCCAAGAAACCTTCGAATGTTGGGTGGGTAGTAAAAATGTTGGGGGATTGTTCGAGGGCCTTTAATTTTCCTATGACTGAAATTGAAATTGGTGTCAAAGCAGAAAAAGGAAAAATCGAGATGAAGATGGTAAAAGGAGATAGAGCAAAAAAAAAAGAGAATTAGTAACTATTCTTACAGTCTAGTAACCTTGTTCCCCTCGTCAGAACGGCATTCCCACCC